AAAGAAACTCACATGGGCAGGTCTACCCTGCCCCATAGGGTCTCTGTGAGGTGTAATTTATTGGATGGCTGTGAGTTTGCATTTGTTTTGTCTTGTTTAATTCTTCTGTGTTAAAACGTGTGAACTCCCTTGAGGGAATATTATTTGAGTTTGGGGAACAAAAAGATATCTGAAGGGCTGGGTAGATGGGGTAAGATTTCCCAATGAGTTCATATAGGACAGCCCTCAAAAAATGAACAAGTGCATTGTTTCCATGGGAAAACATCCTTGGTACCACTTTCCTGGCTTTTTCTCACAAATGCAGATCAACTTTTCTTAAAACTACTTCTTAGTAAGCCCTCAAAATCAACTTTCTTAAAACTACTTCTTAATAAACCCTCATGATCATCGTATATCCTTTAAAAATAGCTATCAAGATCCCCCGCCCCTTGAGAATCCCAAAACACAGTGGTCGCAGCCTTCTGCGCTAATCTGCCTTGAGTTTAACTGGCTCAGAAGATCCCTTCAGAAGCCATTGTTTTGATTGAACCTTGCAAACAGGGTCTGTAAAACACTAATACAGGGGACTGATCCATATTGCCATCCCATGACTATACAAGAGTGCGACATCCCAGAAGCAGAATCCCATGACCATGAAGAAAAGAGAGCCACCAGGGGAGCACGTGTGAGATCTCTGCCTAAAGTGGGCGAGGGACCACAGCATTCTAGACCATGAGAGTAGAGGGGCAGCAAGGCAGATCTGTGGTTGGGCGTCCTGACTCACAGAGGCAGAAGCTGAGGAACCATGTGGCCTAAAACTCAAGGACCAGAGAGACATGCATGCCAGCATGGCTGACAAGAAGCACTGCAGATAAAAGAACTACATCCTTGCCGTGTTGTAACCTGTTAGTTTTCCTAATAACCATAATTATGAGTATTGTCTGTGAGTTTTGTGTGACTATTTGAATTCTCAAACTCAGCAGAGAAATAAGAGTGTCTTGAGAAAGGTGAGTAGGTTAGAACAGGGTAAAGAAGGATGGAGTGTGGAGGCATGCCTAACATCTGCCATACAGATATGGAAAAGGATTCTTCTTTTCCTTGGTTGTAGTCTTGTGAGAGGCCTGAACCAGAGGCACCTAGCTAAGCTGCACCTGGTTCCTGATCAATGGAAACTGTGAGTTAAAAGGTGATTATTGGTATAAGCCAGCAGTTCTCAACCTGTGGGTCATGACCCCTTTCGAAGTCAAACGATCCTTTCACAGGGGTCGTCTTAAGACCATCAGAAACCATATCCGATGGTATTAGAACCTAGACACCACTCTTCTATCCATCTCCTGACAGGTCCACCCACATGCAGATACGCACGTACCAGTACCCGGAGTGAAGACTGTTACCCATGCTTCGCTTCAAGACAAAATTTCATTTATTTATAATTAGAAATAAATATAGAAGACTGTTACCCATACCACGCTTCAAGACAAAATTTCATTTATTTATAATTAGAAATAAATATTTCACAATATATAAGTACATGTTGTTTTTGTGATTAATCCCTATGCTTTAATTATGTTCGATGTGTAACCATGAAAGTACATCCTGCATATCAGATATTTACATTGCGATTCATAACAGAAGCAAAATTACAGTTATGAAGTAGCAACAAAAATAATTGTATGTTTGGGGATGACCACAACATGAAGAACTGTATTAAAGGGTCACGGCATTAGGAAGGTTGAGAACCACTGGTTTAAATCCTTTGGTTTTGAAGTTATTTGTTGTACACAGCGATAGCTAACTAATAAAATTTTCACTGATAAAGTGTTTGTCATCGCCCCAAAATGAATGGCACTTATTTGTAACATGCATACACTTAGACCCCACCCACCCCTCCCCCTGGTCCTATCCCAAATCTTATGTGATATCCTATATAACTAAGCTTGGAAACCATTGTGGAAGCTATACAAGTAAATTAATTTGGAGATATTAGAAGAAGGTATGTATATACACACACACACACACACACATATATATAGTTTTTTAAAGTATTACATATATAATTTTTAAAAGTATATTTGATCCTGGAAATCGTTACCCAAATTCTTGACAGAATACAGAAAAACTGAAACTTCATTTGTTAAATACAGTATTTACTGAATAGAGCAGGGAAAAAAAACATAGCTTTCTCTTATTCCTAATTCACTCTGGACTGGAAAGAGACATAATCTTTGTATGCCTTCACATTCCCAAGAGGTACTTACAGGCCTATACAGCTATCCCCACCCCCTACAGCATTTACTGAGACAGCGAGCCATTACCGTTGTATATACTGTGGTGGTTAAGTGCCATCTAGTTGCCTCCGAGGCCTGGGGACCCTGTGTTCACAGAAGGCAGCACTGCTCCCCACTGCACCACCGCACAATCCGTCCTGTGTGTGCCCATTGTTTCAGCCTCTGTAAGTCTCTCCTCGAGCATCTTCCTGGTTTTCACCCAGCCCTCTACCGAGCATGACGCCATTCTCCAGGGTCTGGAGAAAGTGTATATTATTTATACAAAGGTAGCCAAAGGATGTCGTGAGCTTATTTCCTCGTAGAAATTTAATAAAAAGGTCAGGTTCCCCTATATTCACATTGATAGATGACAAGGCAGCATACTCTTATAGCAGAAATGTGGCCAACCGAGTCAGAGACGCCCATGATCAAAATGTGTCCACTACGTAGCAGCTTGTTGGCCTTGGTAATCAAGTCACTCTCCCTGGTTCTCATCTCCTGGCCTGGAGAGTGTCAGCATCAGCCACTTTAAAGGGTAGTCATGGGCCAGTTGTGCAATGTTTATAAAATGTGAAGGCCAATGCCTGCCTTATCATAAGAGCCCAATAAATAATAGCCAGGAAGGACATGCAGCTAGCCCGTGTGGTCAAGGCCAGTGTTAGGAAGATAAGGAACAGACAAATACTCATATGTCTCAGCCAGTTCTTTAATTTTAAGTTTAATGACAACCCCATTGGACGAAATGTGTTGAATAGTCTAACTGACATTTCTGGGTGGTCACGGATCTCAAGACATTGCATTTCATCTCACTCATTGCAATCTCCACGATGTAAGAGACTTTATCCCACTTCCTCCCTGTGTGCCCATTGCTCCTCTTTTTCTAACCCTTCTGAACCCTTGGGCAAATGCTGCCCTTTTGATCGCAAATTGTTGATTCTTCTCAGGAGTGTTACTGTTCCCTTGATAGGTGAATTCTTTGCAATTGAGCCAAAGCATGTTTTCAGGGCCATAATCTCTTAGATAATTCCCCCAGTCTGTATCTGATCAGTGAGCCTGGTATTTTTTATGATTTTGAGTTTTGTTCCACATTTTCTCTAGCTCTATCCAGGACTTTCTAATGTGACCCCTTTCAGAGCAGTCGGTCACGGTAGCCTGACAACATCTACGTCTGGTCTCAGGAGCCTGCAGGGTGATGTTCTTGTGGCCCATTTCGGGCATTAGACTAAATGTTTCCATGTGACTTTGATTTTTCCTCACTCTTCTCTCCTTCAGACAGGGAGACACACATAGTTACACCATATATGGTTTTTCATGAGCTTTTTCCCAGTCACTGCTCATGAAAGGAGGATGTAGAACATTGTCTTCAGTTTTGTCATTGACCTTGCTGGCCCTGAGACCCTACCACCCTGGTAACCATCAAGGAATATTTTTTTTTAGTGTGGAAACCTCTTCCAGACATTTTATAATAGTGGTCTCATACAATAGTGTGACTATTTACACTCAGTATAATAATGCCAAGGAGGAATTCTGGTGGAATTGTGGATTACACATTGAGCTGCTAACCACAAGGTTAGTGGTTTGGACCAACCAGTTACTCTGCAGGAGAAAGATGAGGTTGTGTACTACTATAAAGATTTGATGTCTCAGAAGTCTAAAGGGGTAGTTCTATTTTGTCCTATAAGGTTGCTATGAGCCAGAACAGTGAGTTTTTTCGCTTTTAATTTTAATAATAGTGCCCGTCAGTTCATCTATGTTATGGGGCATTTTGCAGATTCATCACTTGTCTTTAATGTTTGGTAGTATTTTATTGTGCATATACGCCGAAGTTCAGATACTCATTCTTCCATTGATGGACATTGAGGTGGTGTCCATCTTTCTGCTATTGTAAATAATGCTGCAATGAACATGCATGTGCACATGAGGGAACTTCAAAACGTTTTGGGGGAAATTTCATGATCTTTTCATTTTATTTTCCCCCAGACGTTTGGAAGCCACCTTGTTTATCTGTGAGTGGTGCAGCTCTTGCTTCTCTGGGATACGCACCAAGTAGAGGGATTGCAGGAATTTCCAGCTCTTAAAGGGCACATCATACCGTTTTCGCAGTGGTTGTAGCATTTTACAGTCCAACAGCAGTGCATGAGGGTAACTTTTAAAGCATCTAATAATAATGTAACCAGGACAAATGAACATGGTGACCAACAGAGAATTGCCAGCTCTTTTCATTTCATCATATACTATTGAGTAAACTTGGGTATTATGTGCAGTGAAGCTATCTTCTTAGATCAGTATACAAAGACTTTTTTTTTACAGTTGTTTCTTTGAGTCAGTATCTAAAAAGAGCCACACATAACATTTGGAAACTAGGTCTCAAGTCTATTTTAATCTACAGATCTGTCCCCCCACCCCCGATTCTCTTGTTGTTGTTGTTGAAACAGACTTTTGTCCTGTAAAAATGTCCCATATTCAGGGTGATTGCTATTCTGTGGTGGCATTTAATACATTCTTGTATCTCCTTTTATAATGGTGTCATGTGATTTGGGCTCAATTTTTTGCCACAAGTATTTCACAGGTAGTGATGTGCACTCTCTCCTGCAGGAGCCATGTGACATTCATGCCTCTGCCTTGTGGCATTAGCAACTATTGGTGATCTTATCTTAGATCCAGGATCTCATTGAAGGTATGCACAATGGTGATAGGCTGTTTCTCCTTTTTATTTCTTGTTGGATTCATGAGCTTGACTCCTGCTTAGAGAAAAGCAGGCTGACTGCTTGTTGCTTACTATTACTAATTTTCAGAATGGTTATCCAGTTAATGATTTTGTGAACTTGAAGGACAGGTCACATAAGAAAGGCAACGCAAATGCTTGACGTGATTCCCTCGCTTTATTTCCTAATTTTCAGAAAAGTGAGTCTATTGACTTCAAGATCTTTAAAGGTGGGCAGTGATGGGTTTTTTCTTCCTTATTTTTTTTCCTTCCTTGTTTTTCTTTCCTTTTTTTAGGTAAGCGGAATCACTCATGAATTTAATCATTATAATTAGTTTTAATCTAATCTTTCTTTAAAGAACCTTTTATTGTCAACTAGGTGAAGGTTTACAGAGCAGACCAGTTTTACATTCAACAGTTCATACACACTCTGATCCAGCTCATCCATTGCACTCCCCACAATGTACCACCACTTATCCCACTTTCTCCCTGTGTTTCCTGTTTCCATCCCCTCTTCTGAACTTTGTCCCTGGCTAAATGCTGCCCTTCTGCTCTCACATGGCTGAATAGTCTAACATGGAGAGGAGTTCCGTTTCAGACCCAAAGGATCAAGTCTTGGGGGTCACACCAGTCTCAGTATGACCTGGTGTCTCTCTTGATTTTGAGTTCTGTTCCACATTTTTCTCCGAATCTACCCCAGACCTCCAAATGGGATCCTTTTCAGAACACCTGGTAGTAATAGCCAGGCACCAGCTAGCTCTTCTGGTCTCCAGTTGTAGAGACTGATATTTGCATGACCCATTAGTCCATTGGACCACTTCTTGCCTCTGGACAGGGAGACCAATAGCTGCACGGTGGATGGCTGCTCTCAAGCTGCTCACCAAACTAGAGTATAGAACACTTTTTTGCAAACTATGCTATGCCAATCAACCTGGGTGTTTCCAGAGACTAATGTCCTAGTCTCCCAGGCCCAGCAACTCGTTCCCTCAAGGTGTTTGGCTAGGTCTAAGAAATTTTTGTTACTTTATCTGATCTTTCATGGGGAGCCAATATTTTTATTCAGAGGTGTGGGACTGCATTTACATTCGTGAACCATTTTCTAAACACTGGGCTAGGTGTGCTCACCTGCACTGTTTTATTTACTGTATATACTTGTGTATAAGCCGAGTTTTTCAGCACATTTTTTATGCAGTGTCTGTGGTCAAATTAAGTGCCACGGCTGATATTCGGGTTGGCTTATACTCGAGTATATATAGTAATCCTCACGTCAGTCTTAGGAGGCAGGGGCTGTAACCCTGTTTTACACAGTGGAAGAAATTGAGGCTCCTGGGAGTCAAACAACGAGTCCAAAGACACACAGCAAGTGGTCAAAGTCAGATTTACCCTGAGCTGCATATCGTACATGTAGCTTTTTTGAGTGAAATCACACAGGCGCTGCGTCCCTAAAGGGGGCCCATGGAATATCACCACCACCACCCCCCACCCCGTTTCCTTGTCTTACCTCTTATATATCCTCCTCATACTTATCTGCTTTTTTCTCGTTTGTCACCCACAAAAATATTTCCCTAGAACTGAATTTAAAGTACTCCTTTGCCAAATGAAAATAGAGCCCCGGTGGCACTGTCAGGTCGGCATTGGTTGGCCTACTCACCACGAAGTTGGCCCCTCATACCCACTGAGCACCCCACAGAGAAAGATGGGGCTGTCTGTGCTCTTGAAGATTGACAGCCTCCGAGGCCCTATGGAGGGTCACTATGAGTTGGAAGCAACTCATTGACAGTGGGTTTGGCTTGCCCTCTAAAGAGCCCTGGTTGCATGGTGTTTAAAGCCCTAGACTGCTGACTGAGCAGTCGGTTATTGGAACCCACTGGCTACTCTAGGGGAGAGAGATGTGGTAGTCTGCTTCCCTACAGATCATTGCTTTGGGAACCTTCTGGGGCAGTTCTAGTCTGCCCTACAGGGTCCCTATGAGTTGCTATCAAAAATAGCAATGGGTGATATGGTGTCTGTTTTATAGCGGAACTCTTGCTATTTGGATGTACATTTTTATTGCATGTGCATTTATGATTTTACCTGAATATAAATTTAGCCTGATGTGTATAAACCGGTATCATCACCTCTGGTAAAATTTTATATTTTTACTTTCTTTGTGTGGTTGGCTCTTATGTTTCCTAGGTCCAATCCTATCCTTTCAGGTAATAGATGCTGAAAACCTAGATTCTGTCTTTTTATGTGTCTTCCTTGTCCACGAGTAATGTAAAGACTCGTGAGAAGGAAGCCCGGCGGCGGCGGAGTGGGCGTGCACTGGGCTGCTAATGGCAAGGTGAGTGGTTGGAAGCCACCAGCTGCTCTGCGGGACAAAGATTCACGAGAGCTTCAGAAAGCTT